TGGAGAAAGGAGTACCAAACAAGGAAGAAAAAGAAAACTGAAAAACAAAATGAATTCTAAAATTTTCCTGAGTAGAGAATTAAATTCGGAAACGGGAAGGGAAAGGAGCATTATTTTTACAGAAAAGTGTTTTCTTTGTCCGTGCTCTAAAATGCTAGGCTGAGAGGACAACAGTACGAGCGCACAAAACGCCTGGTAGGTAGGCAATAGTCTCGTTCTGCCGCGCATCGCTGCTGAGCGGGAGGCCTACCCAACGGTCGGCAGGGGTCCAGAGAGGGAGGAGGTTGAGTGAGTGAGAGAGAACCAAGAAAGGGGAAAAGAGACAGGGAGCTGGAGACAGGGGGGTGGGAAGAGGGGTAGTGGGGTAGAGGGGGAGTAGGGAGAGGGAGAGAGAGGGGGGGGGCGGAGTTAAGTCGCAGAAAGATAATACATAACATACATGCGCTTTACATGACGTACCAACCAGTATCAACTCGCGTTATTTCAGCCGGACTGGACCTGCCGGACATCACCAAGGGAACCAAGCCGGCCGCCAAAGCCCCCGCCCCTACCCCCACTCCCGCCGCTACGCCCAAGCCCGTCGCGCCCAGCATCCTGAGTGGTATCATGGGCTGCGCCAGCTGCGTTATCCCGGACACCCCTACTTCGCAGGTGAGTGTGTTGCTCTCTCGCGGTTTTAAGGCCATCCTCGAAAACTTAGACCGGTTTACATCTTTGTGTCTTATGTTGTAGAACGGCCCAGCATCCAGCACTGGATCTACAGGTAACAACGGCCAGAGCCCATTCAGCCGACCTCCCTCTGCGTTCGGTGGTCCCGGGTCACCGGCAGCGCCCAGTGGTGCCCTCGGCAGCTCGACGACCCCCGCCGACAAGCCGTCCTACACGCAGGTCGACAACGGGCACTCAAACTTCAAGGTGGAGTAGATGGACAAAGTTACTACAACCTCCCCGCAACGTAGGGGGTTGTGCGTGACCCAATGAATGACCTATCCGCCCAAACACCCATCAGTGACCTCTCCTGTGTTTCTTTCCTGCAGGTTGGCGGCTTCAGCCCGGACGAGATGCTGGCCCTGCTGTACCGCTTCAACTACACCCTGGGCTTCCACGGACACCAAGAGGTGGGCGACCGAGCGGGCCACAAGCAGGGCGGCTATCACTTCAACGGCCGAGACGGCCTGGAGCGTCGCGTCAAATACACCGCCAACGAGTTTGGGTACCAGCCCAACATAACGCTGCACGAGCTGCAGGCCGAGGAGACCCCGCGCGCGGACACGGAGAAAAAGCCAGAGTTCGGCCTGAAGGGTTACGAGTTTGTTTGGTTCAACGACAAGAAGAAGGCCGCTAGCTTAGCAGGATGAGGAACCCTTTTAATCACTGGACTGTCTTGAAGAACGACTTTGTGTTGTCAGTCAAATTGTCTCTTAGTTCTTAGTTATGTACTTGTATTTTCTTGTAAATTATTTATTTTTAGTTGTAAATAAAATAACAATAAATGAAAAATGTTAAATTATGTTGTAAGTGTTTGACACCCTGTTTTGAAATATCGAGAATGAGCTTGACCAGTTCATAAACAGAACAAAATGTCTCGTTAAAGGATGTAAGGGTATCTTAAATGATTTTTTG